TCTGTACTCACTATCATGATTTCAGATAATTCTCCTCACCTTTCTAGACGTGCAGTTGGCTCACCTGTGAAATGAGGGCATTACTTGTCTTTGTAAATTATAAATTATGGGCTGTAAACAGAAGCATTTACAGTCCCACCCAAATGCACTAGAAGCCTCTCTGGGGTAGAACCATCATCTCTGGCGCCAGGCTCCAAAGTTCACAAGCCAAGAAAATGCCAATGAGAAAAGCAGCGTCTCTGCTCTGCTCTCCTGGCCGGGTTCCTTGGGATGCCAGCCAGGCATTTTTCATCTCTCCTGGAAATGTGCCTTGTAGACTACGGGGAAGAGTGGTACCTTCCTAACCAGTCTTTTCGTTGCCCAGGCAGAGAAAGGGCACTTTTATATTTTGAAAAAAAAGACCGTTTGCTGGCCTTGGCTGAGTCACCTGGCTGGGACCGGGGCTGGGATTTTATTTTACGACTTGCTTTGCAGATGCTGGATCCCCTGAGCAGTGCTGAAAATTCCTTGTCAGGAAGCTGCCAATCCTTGGACAGGTCAGCAGACAGGTATGGGGCTATGGCTGGTTTGGGGGTTAGTGTCTAGGTGTTCTTGAAACTAATAAACTGAGGAAATAGAGTTAACTAGTATGTGTCTCCAATCTAGGCACTGGTCTGCAGGCCCCTGGTTAAAACATCTTACTTCTAGGAGAGAAGCCTCTCACTGGGATTCCTAGCCCTCTCCTTAGTTTCCCAAACACCAGGAGAATGTTATGTTTGTATAATTAGATGAATATAATAGTAGCTCATAATAGCCACTCACATGTGTTAAATGCCTGCTCTGTAGTTCCAAGTGCTTTACATGCTTTGACTTTCCACACAATACATGCTGCTCTTGTACTCTCGGCCTCGTTGCTGTGATCTGGACTGAGAAGCAGCAGACCTTCAACATATTAGGGACAAAATTTGTGGGTTTACTTTCATTTTTTTTCTCCAAGTGTTTCTGGTAGAATAAGAAAGTGGAATATAAAAACCAGGAAACAAAATATCTAGACTACCTAGCTTACCTCACTGCCTGCTTGGTGTGTAATCTTGTTCTTACACTTTGGGAGGGGACAGGTGCTGTCCTTTACACACCACATGGTTCTGCAGAGCTGGTTTACTGGTCAGTGGGGGTGTTTGGAGGTGGCTTTGGCACTGATCCAACCAGTCTCTCACTTTGACCTTGTTATGCCCAAGAACACGTTTGACCATGTCTGGCTGGGCTTAGGGCTGTGGTCAGAGGCTCTGGAGCGGTTAGGGGAGTTTTCTTTTCTTTGTGTAACTGATTAATTGCTCACATGGGTACTCTCCTTGTGACCATGGCCAGATCTGTGTGTGTCTCTCCTAACTGACCTGCGCGCTGGTGAGTGTGGTCTTCCCTCGAGGTATCGTAGAACAGTCACAGGTGCTTGTTGCCTCCAATCCATAGCCTTGTTTTGGGCTTGCTTTCCAACCAGGAATGCAAAGAGGCACAGGTAAAAGTGCCAGAAGTTGCTGCCACAAATTGAGGGCTCTGCCAGGACAGGGACTGACTTTTGGACTCGCTTCTAAGCTTGTTGCCAAGCCAGGGGAGGAGAAGGGGATGGGACGGGACTATAGAAGGTCTAGCAGTTGGGAAGTAGGGGATAGCCCCGCATCACTGCCTTGAGAGTTTCTGACCTATGACCCTCTCAAAAAGCTCTCGCACATGAGGGAAAGGGCCGTTCAGGTGGATGCTGGGAAAGATAGCTCAGTTTACCTACTTGATTCTTTAATTTATCCTCTGTCCCTCCAGTGCTTTGTTTTCTCTTCCTTGGGAGTCAAACTCAGTGACCTGGACTTACTGCCTTGAGGTCTGGCCTGATTTGAGCTCAAGGCTGCCATGTTCCTTTCATGGGGTCTGGAGCCATGTAGACCCAGCACCACCAAATATTGGTTGGTTAGCTTTGGACAAGTTTCCCTTAACCACTCTGTTCCTCAGTTTTCCTCATCTCTAAAATGGGGGTGGTGGTGATTAGTCTGAAAGGAAGATGCAGGGTGTTGCTATCTTTATTACTGCCCTGGGTAGGGGATGTTTTGCAGCTCTTCCCCTGTTACCAAAGTGGGAGGAAAGGGCAAGAAGAGAAAGTGCTGTTAGAGGGGAAGTTGGTTAGACTGGAGGGATTCATTATTCAGGGTCCAGTCAGATGAGAGCCTTAGACTAGTAAAGTAGGATGCTGAGCTCAGAAGATGGCTGTTTCTTTCGAACTCTACTTCATACCAGATAACGTGGGAAGGAGTTAGGAAAAGGAGGCTATCTGGGTGAGCTGCTTTGGAGGTACCCAGAAGTCTACTTTGTGATTTGTTTTATTTTTCTAGCCCATCCTTCCGGAAATCACGAATGTCCCGAGCCCAGAGCTTCCCAGACAACAGACAGGAGTTCTCTGGTGAGTTCTCCAGAGCCTGGGTGAGCACTGTAGGGTGTCTGGGTGGGGCTGCAGGCAGTCTGCTCCTGAGAGCTGAGTTAGGAAGAGAAGCCAAGGCTATTTCTTTGTTTTGTTTTGTTTTGTTTTGTTTTGTCGGGCCTACTGCTCTGAGGTCTCGGGTGACCTAGAGACTTAAATGGATCACTCACACTGGCCTATCCTGAAGCCAGTGATTCCTCTGTCTTACTCAGATCGGGAAACTCAGCTCTATGACAAAGGGGTCAAAGGTGGAACCTACCCCCGGCGCTACCACGTGTCTGTGCACCACAAGGACTACAACGATGGTGAGTGCACCTCCATCCTGCCCCCTGCTGGCCACCTCAGAAGAGCCGTGGTTAGAGCTCCACCACAGAAAAGCCACTGCAAGGCGGTGGCCCAGGCACTCCAAACTCCGAGTTTCGTTTATTCCGGAGGAACTGCGCCCAGGCTTGTGGCAGTAGAGACAGGGTTTTGTTTGTTTGTTTGTTTGTTTTTTAAAAAAAGGAGGGAGGATGGTATTTGCAGACGATGCTACAAATGCTACAGGAACTCCATCCTTTGTCTGAGTGCACAGCGTGCTCCAGGGCTCCAGCTCTCTGACGCCCTCTTCTGCCTCCCCCGGCAGCAAATGGGATGGAGCTTCCATAGCGGCTTAGGGTTAGGATGCCAAGGAAAACAGAGACCAGCCGTGGATTGGCCCTGAGAGTGATGTGGGGCCTGAGGGCCAGCCCTGTGCCTTCCCTTTGGCCAGAGCTCACTGAACCACCTGTGGCTGCTTCCTAATTCCCACTATTGTCCTGGTTCTCAGGGTGCTTGAGACATTAGCCATTCTGGCATGAGTCTGGTAGGAGGGCAGATAGGAGGGAGCAGAGCTGGTGTTATGACCCAATTTGCACATTCAGCCTCGCGGCCAGAGATCTGACTTGCTCTGCTCTGGCCCCTGCATCTCTTCAGGCAGAAGAACATTTCCCCGAATACGGCGACATCAAGGCAACCTGTTCACCTTGGTGCCCTCCAGCCGCTCCCTGAGCACGAATGGCGAGAACATGGGTCTGGCGGTGCAGTACCTGGACCCTCGAGGACGCCTGCGGAGTGCGGACAGTGAGAATGCCCTCTCTGTGCAGGAGAGGAACGTGCCGACCAAGTGTGAGGAGTGGGCCCTGGCCAGGAGGAGGCTGCCCTGGGGATGCTCAGACCAGCTGCGGGGCAGGAGGCCAGTGGGTCCACTGGGGCTGTTCGGCTCAGCAGTTGGCTGTTCTGACCCATCCACACCCCACAGAAGAGCCTGCGGGTGGGCAGCACATTCCTTGGACCTTAGTCCTCATTCTACTGTTGTGTGACAAGCCACTTCTCCTCTTTGGTCTTTAGTTTTTTCATGTTTAAACTGAAGAACAATCTCCTAATCCCTGACATAACGAGATATTTGGGTGCTTTGGAAGTAAAGGTATTTGATCAATGCAGATGAGCATTCAACCATGATTTTAGCCAGTCCTCTGCTTCTTGGGACTTGGGCCTTAAGGTCTGATTGACCAGGGCTATAGGCGTGCTCCAGATGGGGGTGGAGGTGCTGGCTGAGAGATGTGATGCTGCCAGGTCTGGTGGGGGTGGCTGGAGCCTCTGGAGAATGAGGCAGAATGTCAGGAAGTAAGTGTTTGAACTTGAATGCTCTTTCCTTCTGTTCCCCTGTAGCTCCTAGTGCTCCTATCAATTGGCGCCGGGGGAAGCTCTTAGGCCAGGGTGCCTTCGGCAGGGTCTATTTGTGCTATGATGTGGACACAGGACGCGAACTTGCTTCTAAGCAGGTCCAGTTTGACCCAGACAGTCCTGAGACTAGCAAGGTACTGCCTCCTCATAGTCTGACTTTCCTTTCCTCCCTCTCAACAAAATGCCCATCTCATTGCACAGACTAATTGCTTGAGGTGCTACAGGTTGCTTCCCCCATCATTCTTCCTCCCAGGCTCCCCTGCTGTCTACCCTGGCCCTGGGGAGGGATTGGGTATGAGGAACTGAGCTGGTGCCAAAGTGCCAAGCAACCCAAACTGAGAGGTGATGGCCACTGCCACAAGGAGCAGTACCTGCCCTCTCTCACCAAACAGATGCTCTCTCAGCCCTTGAAGCAGGAAGGAGCCTATCTTTGGAGTTTTTGGCCTTGGATGTGGCCTTTATTCCACTTTGAGTGGACAAATATAGCAGTTACCTTAACTAAGCAGCCCCAAGCCCATTTCCCACCCCACTGCTGCTATCTTCCAGCTTGGGAGTGCCACCATCCCAAGGCTTGCCCAACATTGTGGACAAGGGCCAGACCATTGTGAGTCCCCCTTTTCTCCAGCTGACGTTTCCAAGGCAGACAGACTCCTCTGAAGCCACTGACTAGAGGCTGAGCTGATCCTAGGCAGGATCACCCTGAGGGCCTGGGTGACCTCTGGGTCCCTCCTCTAGGAGGTGAGTGCTCTGGAGTGTGAGATCCAGTTGCTGAAGAACTTGCAGCACGAGCGCATAGTGCAGTACTATGGCTGCCTGCGGGACCGCGCCGAGAAGACTCTGACCATCTTCATGGAGTACATGCCAGGGGTATGTGCCCCTTGATGCGTGTGGGACACAAAAGAGTGGGCCCGACCTGGGGCTGGGGGCTGTGGAATGGGGGTCCCTTTTACATGGGTCTGATCACCTGAGACCCCAGAGGCTCAGGGGAGAAGGTGAAATAACAGCAGGGTTTGGAGTCAGCAGGGCCCTCCTCTGGCTGCAGTGATGCTGTGGGATGAGAAATGTCCCAGGCCAGCCTGACCCGAGGCTTACAGGGCAGCTGCACTGGCCAGTGAGTGCCGCCTTTACCTGGAGCAGACAGGTCTCCCTTCTGGATTTGGGTCATCCACTGCTTAAGGGAAAGCCTGTCTCCTACTTTTCTGCAAGCTGCCTAACAGTCCCTCGCAAAGTGCCTGGCACATTGCATATGGGGATTTGATGACTCACTCCTTCGCTGCAGCGCTGGGGACTGGAAATAGCCTTGCCCTCTTCCTGCTGCCTTCCTGCAGTGACTCCCTCTGACTCCTGTGGCTCTAGGGCTCAGTGAAAGACCAGTTGAAGGCCTATGGAGCTCTGACAGAAAGTGTGACCCGAAAATACACCCGGCAGATCCTGGAGGGCATGTCCTACCTTCACAGCAACATGATTGTTCACCGGGACATCAAGGGTGAGCAGGGGCAGGCTGTGGGGTCCCCAGGATCTGGCCACTTGGGAACTTCCAGCCTGGTCATTTCACACTTTCTGAAAAGTAGAACCCTAATTGCTTCCTTGGGGGATTGGTGTAAAGATCAGTTAAGCAACTGGGGGAAATACTGTAAAGTGCTCTGCTGATGTTGGCCATGGTGATGACCGTTTTGTGCTGCAGGGTTGAGGCTTCCTGTCACTAGTCTGTTTGCTCTGTGCAGTTTGGGTCTAATTCATGGTACCCCCCCATTCTCCCCAGCAGCCCTTGGACCTGGGAGGGAAGGACTGAGGGAGGATGATGGAAAGTGCCCAGGGGTCCAGGGTTGCAACCTCTGCCCTTTCATGCCTTAGGAGCCAACATCCTCCGAGACTCTGCTGGGAATGTGAAGCTGGGGGACTTTGGGGCCAGCAAGCGCCTGCAGACCATCTGCATGTCAGGCACGGGCATGCGCTCAGTCACCGGCACACCCTACTGGATGAGCCCTGAGGTGATCAGCGGTGAGGGCTACGGAAGGAAGGCAGACGTGTGGTGAGCGCTGGGGATATGCTGGGACCCCATCTCCCTGTCTGGGCTGTAGTGGCACCAACTTAGAAATGAGGGCTGGGGGCTTTGCAGTGTGGCAGGAGGAAGTGAGAACTTGCCTCTGGCCAGTAAGGCCAACCAAGATGTAGGCTCCATGTACTCAGAGCTGGTGGTGCCTGCAGCAGCTCATACAGCAGATGCGTTGTGTTTTAACTCTGAGTAGCAACTGTTTGTTACTGCTGGGAACTTAGGCTGTGGAAGACATCCCTGATGTCTGCTAAATCTCTGGAAGAAGTAGGATCCATTCTCAAGGCCTGGATCAGTGTTCTAAACAGTAGCAGTTTTCTGCTCTCTCTCCTAGTGCTCAGATGGCTTGCATTTGCGCTACCTAATTTCATGTCCATCCTCTGAAAGGGCCTGAGAATCTTGAGAGCATCTCTTCCTCTTAGAACGTTATTGAGATGGGCTGAGTAACAGCCCCCTGAAGATACACATGTACTGACCCCAAAGGGATTAGTAAATGTTACCTTATAGGCAGTAGGGCCTTTACAGATTTGATTAATTTAAGAATTTTGAAATAGGGAGTTTATCCTGGATTATCCAGATGGACCCAGTATAATTACACAAGTCCTTATAAAAAGAGGGCAGGAGAACAGAGTCGGTAGTAAGAGATGTTACAATGGAAGCAAGAGGCTGAAGTGATACAGGGAAGGGACCAGGAGCCAAGGAATGCAGGGAGCCTCTGGAAAAGGTAGGGAAATGGATCCTCCCCTCAGAGTGTCTAGAAGGAACCATCCCCACCAACTCGTTGACTTGAGCCCAGTGAAACTAATTTTAGACTTATGATCTCCAGAAATATGTTCTTTTTTTTATGCCACTAGGTTTATGGTAATTTGTTACAGCAGCAGTAGGAAACTAATGTATCCTGGAGCTCAGAGGTGGGTGTAGTTTGATGAAGCCTATGTAGACAAGGCTAACAGGGCTTTGAAGCCTCTTCTGGCCTTAGGAACCCTCTACAGAGGTGTCAGCCCCCAGCTTATCTCCTGCCTCAATGTGCTGTGAGAAAAACACCTCCTTTCACTTCAGTGGGCAGGGAGGCTGGGAGCCTGGGGCTGAGGGGTGACACAGGGCTTCTCCCTCTCCAGGAGCCTGGGCTGCACCGTGGTGGAGATGCTGACAGAGAAACCACCTTGGGCAGAGTATGAAGCCATGGCCGCCATTTTCAAGATTGCCACCCAGCCTACCAATCCTCAGCTGCCCTCCCACATCTCTGAGCATGGCCGGGACTTCCTGAGGCGCATCTTCGTGGAGGCCCGCCAAAGACCTTCAGCCGAGGAGCTGCTCACACACCACTTTGCACAGCTCGTGTACTGAGCTCTTAAGGCCACGCTGCTGCTGGCTGTCCCCTGCTGCAAGGGCAGGGGGCTGCTGTGGGGCTCAGCAGTATTGCTGCTTCTCCCAGGCAAGGCTGTGGACCATGGAGCTGCAGTCTAGCCAGCGTTGTCCGTGCCCTTCTGCTACTGGGGCTCAGAGCCAGGTGGGGTGGCTGCAGCCTTAAGGACTGGGAGCCCCCAGCCTACCAGACCCAAGAGCACCGGCGTCCTAAGCTCAGCGTGGAGGGGAAGGGGCTAGGAACAGTGTTCAAGGCACCATGGGCCCCTCCCTCGGGGCTGTGTCCTGACAATGCAGTCAGCACCAGACCCCAGAGGAGGGTCTGGGGGCTCAGGATGGACACGAGGGTCAGAATAGTGTTACTTTCATTCAGAGTGTTATTTTGTTTGTCCTCCCCATATCTGGAGACCATCAGGGCATCTCTGGGCTGGATAGGCCCACCCAAGCCTGAGGTAAAGTCCAGCATCCCGCAGCCCATGGAAAGCAGAGGCCTGGGCCACATGCTCCCTGGAGCCCCCAGGCCAGCTTTGCCAGTCCTAGTCCTTTACCAAAGATGAATGAAGCAAATGTTATGCTGCCTTATTCAGGGAAGGAGGAGCCTGTCCTGCCTGCCCCCATGACCCTGACCATCTCCCCTCACCCTCAAGCAGGGGCCTGAGATGTGGAACTGCCCCCACTGAGGGGGAGACCCAGTTTTGTCAATGCAGTTGTCTCTGTTTTACAAGTTGGAGTCACTCTTATGCTGTACCCAGTTTCTAAACTGGAGAGTTCGTGTGCCCTCTGGGCTGAGTACCCCTGCTGTGGGCTTGGGCCTTGGGCCAGATTGGAAAGAGCTGAAGGAAGGTAAGGGCTTTTGTGCTCCTTGTCTGGCACCTTTCCCCCCAATGGAGCAGAAAGAAAGATGGACAACACAGTGAAGGCATCTGAGCCTGCTGGCCACACTGAGTGGGCCATTCAGGACAGCCAGGGGAGTCGTGTTAGGCTGGTTGTCAGTCGTGACTTGCTAGGCTGGAGATCTGTCTGGTAGAAGGGAGAGCCTGTATGATGCCACCAACTGTGTCCAAAACCACCAGCTCAGTTCCTCCATGGCCACCCTTGCCCATCACCACGAGGTCTCAGCCTCTTTCCCTTCTAGCTCCTGTAGGGGAGGAATGGCAGCAGGGGCCAGGGAGTCAGAATCTCCAAGCAGCTTAGAGTTGGCCTTATTTACCTCAGCCTGGGGCGCTGGTCCTTTCTTCCGGCCCCTCCCCTCCAAAATGTGCCTATTGCTAGAGCTCTTCCCTCTGAACACCCAGTTTCCTTGGGAGTTGTCATTAAGGAAAAAAAAATGCCAGTGCCCAGGGATGACACGTGTCTCCAAGGAGCTGGGGATTAGCTCCAGGCAGCTCATTGCCAGCCATGCCCACTCCCCCATGGGCACCAGAACAAGCCAAAGCCTTCGTTGTATGTTGACGATGCACTTTTATGAATGTAGTTTCTATCGCTGTTTTTAGCCTTTTCACATCATGTAATGTGAGGCCTTGTACTTGTTAATTTATATCTCAGATCATATTTGATGGTTTATATATATATCAATTCTAGACTGTTACAGGTGATGGACGCCTCAAGAGAGAGAAGAGAAAATGAAAGCAGCTGGTTTTGCAGGAATGTGTGTTGCACGGTGCCAGATGGGCCTGGGCCCTGTTTCCATCCTCTTCCCCCAGGGGCCTATCAGGCACCCCCAGCCCAGCCCTCTGAAGACAGTGAGCATGTGCTCCTACCTCCACCTCGGCTCTTGCCCAGGGTGGGGACCGGCCCCTCATCTCGACCAAAGCTGCCAGATGGCAGCTCGGCCTCTCCACAACCCCGTCCTGACGGCTGTAGCACTCTTCTTGGGCCCACACTCCGTCCCCAGGCCCCAGCCCCCAACAGGAAACAGAGCGTGGTGCCGGCACTGTCAAGATAAGACAACTGTGTGTCCCAGGTTCAGGCTCTCACAGAGCCCCACCCACCCCGGGGCCTTACCTCACAGGGAATGTTTTAAAAAATGATTTTGTAAACAAGCCAACAAACCCTGCACTCCAAAAAGAACAAAAGACCCTGATTTTTTTGTGCCAAAAACTGTGGACATGCTGGCTCAGCATCCTCAGGACCAAGCTGTTGCTTAATTTTAATTTATTGTTTTTTTTATTAAATAATCCAGATGACGTTATGGGCCTAAGATGGCCTGGCCCAAAGCTCTGAAGGGCAGTCTCCTAGCAGCCCCAGGCTGGCTGTGGGAAGGGCCGTGCCACCATTTGCTTGTCATTCCGTGGGGGATGTCGGCCTTGGCCAACCCAACACGGAGAGGCCAGGGCCGGGGACAGTCCATACTCCACCGCCCTCCTGCCCCTCCTGCCCACCCCAGCTCTGTGTCTGTGTCTGAATTGTGGATCGTGCAGAAGAACCTGCAGCCATAGTTATTTGACTATATCTCGACCGAGGGCTTGCAGTGCAAAGCCAGGCCAGTGTCGCGCATTACTTACAATAAAAGGGATCATTTATACCTGAGGGGTCCTGTGGCAGTGCTTTTGGGCAGGGGTGTGGGGGAAGTAGGTGTTTGTCCAGGAGGAGCCCAGTATGGTGCCTGACAATTAAGCCTGCATCCCTCAGCAGACAACCTGAAACAGCTGCAAGAGGGCTCCTGGGATGATGTGACTTGGCTGGTAGGACTGCTAGCTCAGAGGTGCCGCCTCCTCTCCTCCCCACTCCTAGGAGCTCTGCTGAGGGTGGCTCCACCAGGGCTGACTTACTGAGGTGGCACTCATCGCTCTCCTGACCCGAGCATCACTGTGGCTGGGTTCCCAGGACCTTTGTGCTTGGCCAGCTCAGGGAAGGACTCCTGAGTCATATCCTTGCAGGGCAGGGATCTGGTGTCTCCCTGTCTATCTGCCACTATTGCTTAGCTCAAGCAGAAAGAGACCATCGTTGTCCCCATCTGATGCTTCTGGTACAGAAGTTGAACCTGTCCTGAGTGAGGCTTTTAGCAGCTCTCCTTACTTTGAGGACCCAGGCTCAGGGTGCCATTTCTGCTTACTGTTAGCTCTGCCACTTCCAGGGGCACAGCAGTGGCCCACCTGCCACCAGAGTTTGAGGCCCAGCTCCCTCATGTCCTCTGGACATGAGCTCACTTGGGAACTTAAGGACGTGTATGGGGTGGAAGCAGCATATCCCCAAGGAGTCTGCCCTCTTGTTCCGCCAACTCATGTAGTCCACGGACAGTTGGGGGAATTGAGGACAGCTGAGTCTGGGGCAGGACAACCCAGACTTTCTGCCTGGATGCTGCTGGGGTCGGGGAGGCCTCAGGTCTTCCAAGCTTTCCTTGTTTGTTCTGCTGTAAACCGTTGTCCCTCAGGAACAGATGAGCTGCTTTTCCTCAGACTACCTGTGGCAGACTACAGCTGCCACATTCCCTGGAGCTTGAAAAAGCAGGGGGAAGATGACAAATGGGGAAAAGGCACAGAGACTAGGGAACCTGATAGCACTGGGTCTGCTGGTTCCCACCATCCCTTCCTGATTTCCAGGGCAAAGGGGATCCACCAAAGACTTGGAAAAAAGATTCTGCCTTGCACTCTAACACACTGAAGTGCAGTGAAGCTAGGCAATGTGACCCACTGATTGGCCTGACCTCTTATGTAACACAAGGCTGAGGGATTTGGTTATTAAATACTCTGGGTTTGGCAGCATGGAGACTTGACAGGGAAGAGGAGATCCCCTTTCCCAGGCTGCCTTATATTTCTCTGACACCCACTGCCCCCCCCAACCAAGGGCAGGAGTGCTCTGGGTTGACCCTGTCCCCCTTCACCTCCACGTGGTGAGTCTCTTCTTCCTGCCACCAAGCCCCCCATCAGGCCACATAATACAGAGTCAGGATCTGTTGAAATATGTTTAAAACAGGGTTGATCACAACAGTCACAACCAGAAGAAATGGGAAAAGAGGGGAGCGTGGCCCCGCCAGCCCCCCACCAGTCTCTGTGGCTCTCAGCCTGGTGGGTGCTTTAGCTTCTGCTTGACTTCAGCGGTGCCAGATGGTCCCAAGCCCCACTGGGCACATCCTGCCTTGCCTTTCAGGGCAGCAGGGCTGCTCCACTTCCCTTCCCCTCCCCTTCAGGGTCCTGGTGGGCATTCAGTGAGGCCCGGCAGACGACATACTGGCTCACCTTCCTCCAGTTTCCATGGCTCAGGACCAGGCTAAGGGCAGAGGTAGATGGGGAGACGGGGCCGCATAGGGCCCCTGGTGGCAGTGAGGGAGCTTGGGACCCTGAGGGGGGCATGCTGACTCCTTGCTGGAGAAAAGGCACCTAGATAGGGAAGCTGGGCTTGGGGGCCTCCCAGGAGGCCATGGGGTGAGTTGGGGCAGGCTGAAAGAAGCAGGAAGCAGGGTGGTAAGCAAACCCCAATCCTGGTTCCCAAACCCCCACCCACTGAGGGAGAAGGAGGGAATCCTGGAGCAGAGCCCTACACCGGAAACCCTCTGCCTGAGCAAGAGGGCCTCATCCCCTTCCCACCCTGCCCCCACTCGCGCCAATCTCTTCCCCACCCTTCCCACGCCTGCTCCAGACCCTCTAAGGAGGGAGGAGGGAGTGGACAGTCAGAGGGGCCTCAGGCTGTCTTGGTGCCAGGGTCCACCTCCTTGTGGGCCCAGAGCTCCTTGTGCTGCTTCCGGCCGAAGCCCTCGTCGTAGTTGCCTTTGCTCTTAAACAGCTGCTGAAAGTGGGGTTTGCAGTAAAATTCCCCGTGCAGTGCGGCGTAGCTGCCCAGGCTGCAGAAGCAAAACAGCTGTGGTCAGGTCAAGGCAGGGCGGGAAGGGAAGGGAAGGGCAGGGCGGGGGCGCACCTGAGCTTGGTGTGACAGTGCTTGCAGCAGAAGCAAGAGTTGTGGAAAATGAGCTTGTCAGCCACCAGCCGCTCCATGGGGTACACGGTCTTCTGGCAGGCAGTGCAGGTCTCCTTCACCTGGGCCCGAAGACTGAAGGACTGTTGGGGAAGAGCCTCCATCAGGGACCTGAGCAGCTCCCGTCCCTTCCTCCCTGCACACGACAGCCTCAGGGCCCTACCTTGGAGCGCTGAACCGTGCTGCTGCCACCGCCGCCTTTGGCTTCCTGAGGGAGAGGGCAGTTGGGGCAGGGTCAGCTGAGGGATGTCCCAGACCATCGCTGCAGTCACCAGCCCAGATCCCAGGGACACTCAAGGGGGAGAGGAAGGGGACAGGCCAACAAGCTGCTCCTCACCCCCTCACCCGCAGGCATGACACCTGCGGGGGCTGGGGAGTGCCCTCCCACCGGGCTGATCACCTACGTGAGAAGGGGTGGCCTGGGCGGCTCCTGCAGCCTGGAACATGGCTCGTTGGAGGCGATGGAGTCCCCGAGTGGAGACGAGACACCCGGTGCGTTCTGCAAGGGGAAGTCGGTTGGGAGGGCCCCACAAGCCTTTCCCCAGCCCGCAGGGTGGGGGTGGGGGTGTTTACAAGCAGGGGGCTGGGGGCTGTGGTTGGGACTTTCCCTAAGTCATTTCCTGTTGCTCTGGGTCTTGCCACTTCCGCCCCTCACCCACCTCCCCTCCGCCCGCCACCCCCTAAAGCGGCTCCCCAGGGGGCAGGGGTCCCTGAGTGGAACCATGTGTCGGGGGAAGAACAGAGTTAGCGGGTAGCAGCTGGGGGAGGGGCTCCGCGCGCAGCCGCCCCAGCGCCCGCGGACCCAGACCCCGCCTGGCGAGAGAGAGGTCAGGAGAGGGCGGGCTTGGAGGAACCGCAGCTAGAATCTGCCGCCCCGGCCTGACCCCGGCCCGACGGTACCCAGCGCGGGGCCAAAGCGCGGGTGCCGGGGCCCTGGCCGCCCGGCCGGCGCAACCTCTGGACATCGCTCGCCGGATTGTCCGCCCGACTCGCCAGGCCGATTGGGGTGTGGGGGCCTGGCTCCTCTGCCCTGGACCCGAGTGAAGCGAACTCCAGACC